AAATGAATATAAGCCACCTTTTTCAGATTATGTGGCTTTACAAGGAATATAACTGGGCCTCTATCAACAAGCACACGTCCATCTTTTTCAAGACAAACTGAATTGGTATATAGATATTCACCGATTCATTTATAAGACCAGTTCAACCTGGTGCTAATATAATGGAGTGAAAAAATAAAGAATTTTTTTTTCTTTTTGGTAATTTGTGGGGATACAATTATAACCTTTGAAAGATCCCACCCACGTGTTGTTTGCCACTTCTCCCATCTCTGGAGAACAAAAGTAGAAAAGTACAATAGTTGGGACTTTGATACTGTTCCACACTAGGAATAAAAAGAAATATAATTTATTGGTATATTATCCCAAATATGGGGAAACATAAAGGACACCTGTTCATTTGTGTGCTTATAACTCATAACTGGTTGGAAACCAATTATATTTGGGAAAAGCCCTACATCTAGGGCATATATCTGAATAGCTATCTCAAATAAATAGGACATCATAATATTATATACAGTACTAAGCCACCCAAAACCAATACTACAGAACTTAAATACAAGTGGGATTTTTAATGCAGATATATCCCTCGGCAACCAAATAAAACAACATCTCTTCTCTTATAATAAACATTGAGAATGGCAATATTAATTTGTTCATAGCTGACACAGTTGTGAACAAACAATCTAAAGGAAAAGGGCAGGAGGGGAATCCAAGTGAATATATTCTTGTATTGCATACGTTTTTAAAAATAAATTTATAAATATTTACATAAATGTACGGGGACAGTAAACGCCCAGACACCATCGTGGAATTCATGCCTATGGTTACAGACAAAAGCCAAGGACAACAGTTTCCAAAGGATAACACAAATTTCCCAACTCTGCATTGGTCAGAAGACGAGAGAACAATTCATCCGCTGAGAAACAGTTTGGCACAGTTCAATAAACATTCCTTGTTTGGTCGGACAGGATAGTACAGTTTTGGTTTGTCTATATGTTTTTGCCCCCTTGGATCACCAAAATACTGCTCTGAAGATGGTCTTGCCTGTACACTGTGCCCCCACAAAAGTCCATAGTAGCAAGCAAAGGATGAAAAAGTGTAGAGAAAATTTCAGCACAAGCGAGGCAATTAACCACGGTTGTCAAGGTTGGTAAGACATTGGTGGAAAAAAGAGAAAAAGAAAGAAAATGAAAAAGAAGAATCCCCGCTTCAGATCTTGGAGACATATCATTCATGGTGTGATGCCCGGAGCAAGATAAGGAATGTTTTCATAGTTTGACCCACCATATTCCGGTACAGAGCCATCTCCACGTTTGAGAAACAGGCGAACTTTGCGGCCACCATTTTTAATTAGTTCTATGGCTCGAGCGTGCTTCATGTTCTTTGTGGTTTCTCCATTAATCTCCAGGATTTCATCCCCAATCTGTGAAAATAAAGTACTCTATGATTAAAGTAAAATGCTGGCAGGAAAACATCACATTAGAAGAATGTGGAATGAGCTGTCTGCCAAAGTGCAAAATTGAACATGAACCCAGCTCTAATGTTTTGAATGTAGCATTTTGGAAAGTTTCTAGTGACACAGGTACACAAATCACATATCAAACTAAAGATGAGATCCTGAGTTATTTACTGGTAAAATTTTATTACTAAGATTTCTGTACTATTCCATTTTCGAGTGGTATATCTACAAACATGATTTTAAAAAAAATCTGAAAAGATATATATGGATAATGATAGTTTGAAAGTATCCATGTATCTAAACACCAATGTGAGGATGGCAGGATAACCAATTTTGCTTACAGAATCCTAATAGAGATTTTGTTGTAACTGTGTTACTTCTAATAAGACAGTGGTATGGAATAAAAGTGCTTTTTATTCTTTTTTTTT